ATATCAAATGTTCAATAGATAAAATAAATATTTAATAAGTAAAAAATTCTAGTTCTTGTGTTTTCTTTTGCTAATTTATCTTTACTTTATTCTCTTTGTGTATTAATGTGCATTAAACAGAACGTACGGTACTATTATAACTCATCGATGAATTGAAAAAAACGAGGGAGATGAGTTTTTTTTTTGTATTCATTTCTCTTTCTCTTTACTCTATCAGTATTACGTCAAGCGTCCATAGAGAAACAGTAATCACTGTATATATGCATGGAAGAAAGTGAAAATGGCATTGTGATTGCAAAACGTTTACTTCATCTCATTTTTGTTCCTCTTTTTTTTTTTTCATACTTATCAAAAAGAGAAAAAAGATAATAATTGTCAAAATTTATTTTGATGTTAATGTCAAATAGACCAATTGTTGTACTAGTAAGTGCTTGTTAAAGAAAAAAAAAAAAAAATTCTAAAATAAGAATAATCTATATAGATATTGTTATGGAATTGTCAAAATTCAATGTCCTATTATCATCTTCATGAAGATAGTATTGATGAAAGAAATAATTCAACAACATCTATTGAATCATCAACAATAGAATACACAAGTGTTCCTAATTATCAAATTTTTACTTCAAATGATACAATAACATCATTTTTTTCTACAATCACTGTCTTCATAACTGAAGGTAAAATGTTTTTTGTATTTTGTTTTTCTTTCAATCATTGTCTACCCTAATTTCAATAACTGATAAAATGGTTTCATCTTTCTGAAACATCTCATAAAGAAAAAGAAATGATAACTATTCCTTTTGTATTTTGTTTTTTTATTACTATCTATATTTTATTAATAAACTAAGAATGGCAATCGGCGGTGAGGTGAATTTTAATTTTTTTTCATTATTTTAATTAATGTTTTTAGTACCTTTATTATTTTCCATTATATCTTTAACTATTCGAACATCTCGAATTGAACAACAAGAATATTTCTATTCAGTGGACATATTAATAAATAGTACATGTTCATTAAAACGAGAATCAAATGTAACATTAATTTTTCAATCATTATCATTTAATGAAACTAAACGATGTTTATTTCCACCTAAACATCATGGATTAATGACATGTGATAATTTTACCTATGGTATGATTAATTATTGAATAGAATATTATTTTAAACTTTGTTTGTTTGATAATGCAGGTGTTCATTATACAGTTGATGGATATCTATTATGTGGTACACGAAATGTTACTTTATCAACAAGAAAAGAACTTTATGGTAATGAAAAAGAAAAATTTCATTTCATAGAAATGTTAATTAATTATATTGAAATTTGTGTTAGAATCAATAAAACCAAAATATATAAATTCAACAAATAGTCCAACATCGATTGATACATTATTTTTCTTACCTGGTTTATTTTATCGATTAATTATTGAATTAACAAGTATTAATCAAACATGTTCAATTGAATATTCATCAATTTATTCGCCTTATTATCATTGTTTATTTAAAAATTTAATTCCTGCTCAATGGTTTGTTTTAACTTATTATGTATCAACAGATAATGATCAAGCATCATCAGGTGATGTAACCATTGTTTATACGGGTATGAAAAGAAAGAAATCATTAAGAGAACAAAAAAAAAACATATGAATTGATATTTTCTTAAGAATTGGAAGATTTTTATTTTCGATGTGAACTTAACAAAAATAATCAACAAATTGATTTTTATTGGACAAATCTAATCGCTTCTGGTTATGCAAATTTAACAATTTCTATATTAACCGAAGAATATAAACAATTAGGAATTCTTTCATGTGATCCATATACATCAAAAAGTATTTGTTCAACAAAACAATATCATTTAGAATCAGGTAGAGAATATCATATAATAGCTAAATTAAAAAAAGTATTACCAAATTATAATGGTCAAAAAACTGGAACATGTTCTATCAAAACAAGTTAATTTTGTTTTAGAAAAAAAAAACAAAGTAAATATTTTTTTTTTTTGTAAATAGATCTTAGTCAAATATCAATTAATTCTATTCGACATGAATTTTTAAATGAAACAATTGTTCGATTAACTTGGCTTAATTATCCATTTCATATTCAAGTTCGATTAAGAAATCTTGAAACAAATATATTAGAAAATCCTATAGAAAATAATCAGAGAACTGCTTTATTCATTCATTTAACTGAAGCAAGTATTTATCAATTAGAATTTAATATTTCAAAAATTCATTGGTCATCATTAATTCAAATTACTGATTATTATATTCAAACAGGTAGAAATTTTCATTTCTGTTTTCTTTCTTAAAAACAAACAAAATTTAGATAAGATGTTTGTTCCAGAGATGGACAAAGTCGCACCGCGCCTCCCCGCGCCGTTGCTCACGCCTACGCTACACTAGTCTGAGCTTCGATGAGCGCATGCTTAGAGCATCCCGGTATTCGGTGGAGTTTGAGAAACTGATTGGTAGAGCAAAGAGAAAGAGAGATGTGCGTAGCGCCTAGGCGCGGTGCGATTTTGTCCATCTCTGGTTTGTTCGTCTTTGTCTTGGTTTGAAAGTATTTTCAACGAGTCAAAAATTATGAATATCAGCTTGTTAATAAGAAGCTACCTTACAAAATAAACTATGTAGTCGAAAGTGTTCTCTCGTTAATTAAAAAATCATTTGACTCGTGAGAAATATGAGTCCAAAAAAAAGTGAACAAATATCTTGTCTAAAAATTTTCTATTTATTCATTAGATTTTAAAAAATTAATCATTGAAAATATAATACGATTATCTGAAAATACTTTAATTGTAAATATTAATCGATATGATTTATCAAAAATAAAAATAATTTATTGTATTGAACAAATGATTGATGATAGTTTAAAATTTTGTTCAATATCAAATACATTTAATCAACTTATTCCTGGATCAATTTATAATATATCTGTTAGTATTTATCGAGATTCATTTGAAAATATTTTCATTTGGAAAAAACAAACCGTATATAAACTTGTTAATACAAGTAAGTTTAAAAATTATATGTTTAAATACTGATCAATATTTTTTTTATTATTATTATTAAATAAAAAGATCCATCTCCATTACGAATTCGTACTTGGAAAGGAAATGAATATTGTGCTGCAGAATTAATAAATACATATTCGATATTACATTCAATAGAATGTATATCAAATGAAAAAATTTTAAACTGTAATCAACTTCAATGTGGTTGTCGATATCGATTTCATATTTTATTTAATCAAACACATATTAATTCATTATGTTCAAAATCACAATGTGATATACAATTTAATAATTCAAATTTTACAAATGTTCATTTTCAAACACGTAAAAAAAAAAGAAAAATTATTGATTTATTTATTATTTTTATTTGTTTGTTTAAGCATTAGAATCAGTTAAAAATCTTCGATTAATTTCTCATTCACTAATATTAAGAAAAATTCAAGTTGATTTTGATCGACCATATGGATGTTTTGATCGTTTTATTTTAATTTGTGAAACAATACCATTAAAACAACGTCGAATATTTATTAATTCAACTATTTGTACTGATTTAATACCTAATGAATTTTATCGAATTTATGTTGAAACAAAAAAAATTGGATGGGAAACAGTTATATCAAATATTATTGAAACTCGACTTGATTTAACTTCAAATGTTAATAATGAAATAACGAAAAGTATATATATATATCATTTTAATATCTTATTTTATTATTTAATTAGAAGGATCAAGTCTTCAATCTGTTATTATTCCTTGTGTGATTGCTATTTTATTAATTCTTATTTTAATCGTATTAATTGCTTTTTATTTTGCATATCGATATAATCGTCGGTGAGATTTATTGATTTGAATTTAAATGATTTTTCTATCTTAGAATATATAAGAAAACGAATGAATCAACGAGATCAACAACAAATAACAACAATTAATAATACAAATACAACAACAAAAATGAATAATGTTGTTAATCAAGTTAATATGTAAGCCTATCTGAAATGAATAATTAGAGAAAAATAGTATTTGTATTACTAATAGATATTCAAATTCACAACAAATTTATCCAACAGAATCAAAAAAGTAATATTATATTAAATTATTTTTATTGTTTTATATGTAATTTTATGTCATTTGTTTTCTTATTTTAGAAATGTTCTAACTTCAAGGTATAAGAATTGAATTTAAATAATTATATATATATATATACAATTTTTATTATTTAGACCCATTCAAATAAAAGATCTTTCATTTGAATATGAAAAATTAATTGCAAATAATTATTATAACATATCGGATGAATTTCATGTTAGTTTTTTTTATTTTTTTGATTATGATAAACACTTTATTTGATTTTTAGAAACTTCAAAATAATCTTCAACAAATTCCCGAATTTACACAATGTAATCAATCATTTAAAAATCGATATAAAGATATAATACCTTGTATAAAATTTTTGTTTAATACGTTTCATTTATTTTTGTTAACTTTTTAGATGAACATTCACGTGTTAAATTGATTCCTGTTGATGAATGTGATTCAGGATATATCAATGCTAATTTCATTAGTGTAAGTTTAATATTCAAACAATATTAATTTCAATGATTTTTTTTTTTTATAAAAACACATAGGGATTACATAATCCTCGAGAGTATATTGCATGTCAAGGTCCACTTAAATCAACAATTAATGACCATTGGAAAATGATATGGGAACAAAATGTTAGAATTATTATTATGCTTTCAGGACTTGTAGAACGAGGAATGGTAAGTTTTTTCTTTAACATAGTTTGTTTTTCTTTCAACGAAAATCTGATATTTTGAATAAATTTGATTAAATAATATTATAGAAAAATTTATTTATTGAAAATAAACAAAAACGATAAAGAAACAAGAACCTATCGTTGATATATAACAGAAGGTGTTGCGATGATTATTTGTTTTTTTTTTATATATATTTCAAAGAATAAATCAGTGTTAAACATAAATTATTCAATAAATGAAGATAGCATGAAAAATGATAAAACCAAAAATAAAGAGAATAAATAATATAATAATTGTCAATTTTTCACATTCTGAACAATTATTATTTGAATTCTTTGAAATAGAAAGAAAAAAATGAATGTTGATAAAATTATTATGCAAAAAATTTACTTCTATCGATATATTTCTAATATTTTTGTTTATATTAATATTCGATAAATTTTTTTCAATAGAATTATAATCATTTGTAATATTTTTATCTTGTATATACGAAGAATCTTCATTTGATAATGAAATTTGTTTAATAAAAGGTTTACTTAATGGACTCATAACAAGTAGACGTTGAACAAACCAACTTAATTTTGCATAAGTTGATGGATTGAATGAACATAATATACAATGTTCATCGCAAATTATTTTACGACATATTTTACGACTAAATGTTTGTTGAATTTTTGTTAAAATTTCATTTGATGTTTCACCAATCATAAATGATATTGCAAGATCAAAATCGAGTAATAATAATTTTTTCGTAAGTTTTGGACCTAATTCATCATTAAGAAGATTTTCAAATGTTATTCGATCCATATAAAACCAATTGTTCATTTTTTTTTATTGATAAAGAATTTTCTTTTCTTATGTAAAAGTTGCTGATAAATAATCGATGAATGATACCTGTAGATGCGCCATCTCCTTTATATACTCATTTAAACAATGAACGTTCGGCTATTGTTAAATAGCTAATTGAATCTAAAACAGAATGTTTGCTTTCTATAGCCGTCAGAAATATCAATCAGTTCAAATTTGTTTCGTATCTATTCAATAGACTAAATAGGCACGTCAGCATGTTTATTTTTATTTGCTTTCACCAGCGAATGATCCGTCAGGTCAGTTCAGATCCATAGTTCTATCTTACAGAATAATATTCAACATTTTTATTATTCTTAAAAAAAAATAGTAAACATTATGATATCAATGAAACATATGCAATTATTTTTCTTTTTATAGAATAAATGTGAACGATATTGGCCATTGGATTTGAATAATACTGAAATGTATGGAGATATCTGCGTATGTGTCACTGCATGTGTGAATGTGACCGCATATGATTTACGTTATATTCAATTAAAAAAGGTAAAAATTTAATTTATAGATATCTTAAACTTATATTACACAAATGGATCCGTACAAGTCTCGAGATCTGCTGTGTTCAAACTCTAAAATGCTAAATGCCTAAGTTTTTTCACTTAAACATAGAGTAACATGTTTAATATAAAGCATGTAGTTTGAGTTTCCTTAAAAAATCAACCTTGAACTAAATATATTCCAATCTCATAAAATTTATTCAACACAATTATTTAGAACGATGAAATTCGTTTAATAAAACATTATGCATTTAAAATGTGGGATGATCATACAATACCAACAAATAGTGATATACTTATTAATTTTATTCGATTAATTCGTTCGGAATGTTTTCCAGAACATCATGGACCATTATTAGTTCATTGTAGTGCTGGTGTTGGTCGTAGTGGAACATTTATTGCACTTGATCGTTTATTACAACAATTTGATAAATCATCATTACATGATTATTTAGATATTTATGGAACTATATTCAATATGAGACAATGTAGAGATAAAATGGTTCAAAACGAGGTAAAATTTATTTCAAATGAAATCTTAAAAAAAAAGAAGTAACTTATTTTGTTTTTGTAATATTAGCATCAATATCTATTTATCTATCGATGTTTAAAAGAAGAATATGAAAAAACATCAGGTAATTCATTTGATTAATATTTAATGTTTGGTTTTTTGACATTATCATAGGCAAAACTAATTATGCTACAATTGTTGATGAACCTGTGTGATTATTGATTGGGTTAGCTTTTCGTTTTGTGTTTCTTGATATGATTTATTATTCGTAATTCTTTTAGAATAAATATTCATATGAAATTTCGTTTACTAAAATTTGTTTTTTTTTTAAATGTGTAATTGATCATATCAACTTGTTAAAGTTTACTTGTAGGCTTTTATGAAGAAATCTGTTTCTAACTAAATGATCATGATAAATATAAACTACTGGTATCATTTATTTGTAACTTATTCATTTTCTAACTAAAGTTTCCGCATCGTAATAGAAGAGAAGCCAATCTAAATTGCATAGCTCAACAACGGTAATAGATTTTGACCTGCAATTTTCAGCAATCGAAAAAAGACAACTACTAACATTCTATAGTCATATATTATAAAGGATAATATTATTTTGAAAACTATCGTTTTCATAAAACATTTGAAAAAAATGCATCAAAACAGTGTACCCTTTTAAAGAAAATGTCCATAAAATCAATAGAAACTTAATTCAATACGGTCAAATAGATAAGCTATTTTGTTGGTTCACAAAATACAATTATATTTAAACGAAACATGCTTCTTATGAACCTTCCTAAATAGTCTGCAAAGATGATGGATATTAAAATGATGTTATCTTAGACACAGTGCATATCAAAATTCTAGCACCACATTTTTGTTTTGAGTCATTTATTCAAGCTACACATTAATCTACTTCGTTATATGTGCCTATAGAAAAGGTCAATTCTTACATATGAACATCTATTCAATATGAACTAATCTCGAAAATAACAAACATTAAAAAAAAAACTAGAAAATGATACTTGAAAGATTTTTTGAAGTGCAATGCGAATTTCTTCATATGACTTTTCAAGAGCATTCGACGGCCTATCTTTTCAAAATCAATCAAATTGCTGTAATTTCCTCAGGCTAAGACACAGGCGAACGATAGAACACACATCATTTTTACTACACAAAAGAAAACCTAAATCAAACAACATTGAGAGACACTCCGAACTCGATATCCTACATCACCCTATTAATAATATGTACAACAACACAAAACCTTGATATGTTTACTTGATGTAATTAGATAGAACTCGATAAGCTCTACATGATGCATATCTTTCTATTTGATAAAAAGTGATTTTTGAAAGAAAAAAGTGCAAACTACTAAAATTTGATATAGGTGGAAGATGAATTTTCAGTAAGGTTTACTGAATCGTAATGAGACATGTTTTTTGTTATGGGAATATTGTTTTTGTTACTTTGTTTGGCTAGGGTGAACTTTTTAGTGTAGAATGCAGTAATAAAAGAAAATGAATATGTTTGAAAAATTAGAATTCGTATAATTCTTAAGTGATCTTTGTATTTTAGGATGTTTCAATAGGGAGTCTAATATCAGATTTTCAAAAAATCTCTTGTTCGAGCACGTTTTGTGTCACTATTTTCGGTTTTCGTCTCAGTAAAGGTGACTGTTCTGTATTTTATGGAGACGTGTGTGTTAGAGGAACCAAGTATCTAATTCTCTGAAATATCGTTCCTAATGATTTTATGGATTTCGTTTGTGTTGAAAGATCTCGGCACCGAGAAATGATGAAATGATTGTTTCTTCTGCCAAAGCTTGTAGCGTAGAAAGCTTTTCAGAAATTTTAGCAACGAAACTATATTGACTGGTTTTAGTTGTCTCGTTCATAGTCGAAATGAAATGAAAATACGTGATCTTGGTGCTTCCAAGTAGTTTGCTATATCATTTTTTTTTCATAATTGTAATTTGTAATTTTTTGTTGTATTTTATATTTAAGATTGTTTCGTATTAATCAGATATATATATAGTACTAGAAATATACCAGAGATATTTAATCGCATTATGTTAATGTTATATAGCTCGAACACACGATTTGATACAAAAAGATGGTACTAGACATTGATCCCGATTTTCATTATTCTTCTATTCTAAAGGATATTGATGTTATAAAGCTAATTTCAATAATTTAATGAATACAATACAGTATGAAAATTTATGGCTTACTCAATCCCATGTTCTTGTATACTTCTAATTTTGGTGTTAAAGACTACATTTAAATAAATCAATGAAAAGACGGGAACCCACTATGATCAATAAACTGATATTTTTTTCATCATTATTAGTTCATTGAGACTCATGTTTTGTTACTTGATTGGTTATTATATTCAACAGTTTACATAGGGTTCATACATGTATATCTGTGATTGCAATGCATATTTATGTTTGTATTGTTTTTCTTAGAGTTCAATCAATTTATTGGATAGAACAATAATTGTTTATAGTTAGGTTCATGCTAATGAAGTTATTGAATGATGAATATAAATTTTGAGTGTTATAACAGGTATAAGTTGTTCATGTTTAGTTTTCTGCATGAACAAAATCTTATTTCTTAATCTGCACATTATCTCTCTTCCATTTTATATAAACAAAAATAATTTTTCGAATTAATTGACAAAAATCAAAATAACAATATTAATTAATTTCATTATTTATGTAATCAAAGAATGTAAAAGAAACTTCCTTATTGTTCTTTAATTTTTGCTTTCTTTGCAAACCAATTAAGAATTGTAAAACGAAAATAAATATTTGAATCTAAGAAACAATGTATTTGTCTTTTATTTCTTTTTCAAATGTATCTTTTTTTTTTTTATTTGCATCAAGTAAAATCTATATGAAACATTTAGATTTATGTTAGATAAAAATTTAAATAATTAATTTTTTAATAAATTTTATTAATCATTTACATGTAAAACCATCATAAACGCAATATTAGATTTCATCGTGTAGTAGAGT